ATAGAGAGTGTGTGCGAGTGAGAGCGCGGAACTATCAATGCTAGCGCAGGCGGCCGCTCGGTGCGGCGCTCGCGACGATGTACGGGGCAAAAATGTACCGTGACACACTATCGTACATCGGACCGTACATCGGACCGATCTTTTCTTTGATCTTTCGCCAAAAAACCGCCTCCAGAGCGCTCGTCTCCCTGCTCGGCCTGATGTCTTGTTCGGCGTCTTGATCGGTGTACGGACTCGTGACACACTATCGAACATCCTCCCTTCGACCTCCCTTCTTCCTTCTCCCTGCTCGGTTCGGGGTCTTGTTCGGGGAAAAGATCGATAGTGTGTCACCGTCTTAAAGAAGACCTTTAATTTGATGTGCATATTGACCTATGCTTCCATTTAAGATTTTCTTCCGACTCCTTGTGGGCCGTCCCCCTGAAGAGTTATTGGATCACTGAATATGTGTTAAAATATAGTTTTATGCCCTGTAACTTTGTACCAAGTATTGTAGCTCTATCTGCATTATTTTTAAAAATATTTAACTGTCCAGGGACTTTTTTACCACCCTGTATATATACAGTATATCAATAATCCCGCCACAGAAAACCTATAGACTAAGCGAATATCCAATAACCTAATAGGACTTTCAATTAAATTTATTTAAATAGCTTTAGGTTTAACAAGTAACTAAAACTACCTATGTGTAGGTATGCTACTACAGGGAGGGCAATAAAGTGTGTTTTTTACCAAAATATTAAGAGCTTTATTTAAAATAAATAAATAAATTTGCCAAGTTTCATCAAAATATATCCATAAACTACAAAACTACAACAGTTAACTTATTCTCCATGAGAATCAGATGGGAGTTTTAAATTAACTTTCATGCCAAATTTGATCAAAATCAGACAAAAATTACTCAAGTTGTCACGTTTATGGACGTGTAGGCCTATATAATGTATGGGCTATACATATATAAACATTTGAACGAATAGGGGATGTTTTGGGCCTCTAGGGACATCAAAATGGAAAAGTATATCGGTCCCGGAACTAAGTGCTACCTACGGTAATAGCTACATCCCTATAGGAAAGTTAGATAAAAGAGTTTCATGTTTAAAATTTTTTAAATTGACAACAATGTTTTTGTAAGTATTAACAGATATACATTTGCTTCACACTATCATAACCTCCGCAATTACTTAAAATACTTTTTATTTTATTTCCGTCAATACCCATGTATTATACAGGACAATTGCTGTTTAATTTTGAAGCTTTTTATTGCATGAAACCGAGTTTCAGATGTTATTGTTCCACACACAGGGTAATCTTTGTTAAATGATTAGGCTACCTAATGTTTTTGATCTCTGAAAGAAATCATATTGATTTTCAGAAGCCTATGTTGCTCTGTATGTATTTATAAGGTGTAGTACCAGAGATAAAACTTAGCCGTCATTGAGATGTAAATCAACGATCTTAAAAAACTAAATTTTTCCAATGGTACAATGCAGAAACTTACACCATAGTCTACTAATTAGCCACCGTTGATATACCACGATAAAATTGTATCCATCTTCAATTGTTCATCGTTTGTTGTTGTCAACGGTAACGTGCTCTGCAGTGGCCAAGGCCAACATCAAAACCTGAATTCCCCGCGATTCCCTGTCCATCTAGCTGCGCTGCAACTTAGGCGCGACTATACTTGATCTACGACCATTTCAACTTAGGCACGAGCTCCCAAGCCTGGTTTCTTGTCCGGGGACTAAAGTTAGGCGCGTCTAACACTAGGCGCGTACTAGCTGGGCTCGAGCTCCCAAACTGCCTCTAAGAGCTAAATTAGGTTTTTATTTTCCTAGTACGTTTGGCTCTTCTACAAGACCAATATTCATAATTTTGGTCTTAAAATAAAGCTATGTAATCACAGATTCGGTATCAAGCATCATAATTCATTTATCTACTGTATTACTTGACCAAAAGAACATAAATTAGACTTTTTTCAAATTTTTACGTCAGTGACAGATGTATTTGGTATTTGGTTATATGGTAGTAGTTACAATTACTTTATCCTATCTGTCTTACAATACAATACAATACAATATTCTTTATTGTTAATTTGTTAAGAATTTCAATAGTGTCAATACAATAGTGAATTGTACATGTTAATTTTCATAAAATTCCTTTATTGAGTAGAAGGGTCTTGCGATTAGCCACTTCTTCAGCTCCTTGTGTAGCTTGTTGCCAGTCAGGTCTCTCAGGTAGTCAGGTAGATGGTTCCTCAGCTTGCAGCCCCGGTGTAGGAAGGTTTTTTCCTTGGATGAGTTCTTGAGAGCAGTGCTTTATCATCTTAGAGGAAAACTCATCTATTCCACTTGATGTTTTGGCTTTTAGGGAGTTTATTATCGTTTTAACTTCTTTATAGGATGTTGAAGTTAGGGTAAGGTGTATTGGGCAGACTGGTTCCTCTCCATTCAGCACTGTTTCAGGGTCTATAACGATTGCTCTGTTTTGGTCAAGGGTATTTTCTGCTATATTTGAGAAGAATGTGTTGAAGTGATCGGCCATTTCTTTTGTGTCGTTTGTGAGTTTGCCATTTATTTCTAATTCTGTAAGAGTTTTCTCTTCACATTTTCCTTTCCTTTCCTCGTTTATAACTTCCATAGTGCTTTTGGTTTGTTGTCTCTTCTTCCAGCATGGTGTTTTTGGAATCTTGGGTGAGCCTGTCGATATTTATGTCACCGATGAGTATGAGGTTTTTCTTGTGTACTTCTTGTAGTTCTAGCGTGTCTAATAGGAGGTCAAGGGCAATTCTTGCATTTTCGATTGGTGGTCTATAGATTCCCAGAATGTAGATATCCTTTTTCTTTGTTGTCTGCATGCGAATCATTGCTGCTTCGAAAATTAACTCCTGGCATGTGTTTGATATGTTAATAGCTGATACTGTATCAGCAAGGGATTCCTTGGAATATATTGCAACACCTCCAAGTTTGTGTTCTTCTCTACTAAAGTGAAGAATTATTAAAGAGTAGCCGGGAATTTTTGTAGCTTCTAGCTCTGTTTTTTTCAGTCCGTGTTCAGTCAAGACTAGAATGCTTGGTTTTGTGTCATTGAGAATATGGTGTAGTCTGTTTGTCTTTGTAGCTCCTCTAATATTTTGGTGCATTATTGCTACACAAGAATTATTTGGAGATTTGCAGATTTTTCTTTTGCTTTTTTCAGGCTGTTTGTTTCTAAAAAAGGGGTTATAGTATGGGACACTGTAGAGTGATTGGATTGTTGACTTGAATTGGGTTCTTGCAGCTGCTCATGTTTCTGTTCTCCTTGAGCAGAGAGGCAGTCCATCTCGGTCATGTTTAGTCGCTTGGTGTGTGACAGAATATTCTTTTTATATAGGTCTATATTTTTCCAAAAGAAGTCTTCAATGGTCTCTTCTGGCTTAAGAAGCTTGGCGGTGATCGGGGGTTTCCCTGTGTTCTTTGGTTTAGTTGATTTGTTTGGGGGAGATATAGTGCCCTTGAAAGTAGAGCAAACTCCTTTTGGAATTTTGATGGCCTTGGGATTTTTAATATTTTGATTTTGTGTTTGTTGTGGTTGACTTTGGTGTTCTGGTGCTTCTTTCCTCAAATTGCTTTTTGCTATTTGCAAGGAAACACTGAAATGGGTTTTCTTAGTACCGGTAGTTGCCAATTAATTTGTTTTTATTATATGAAACTCGTCTTGGTGTGTAAATTGGCTTGCAAGGAGTCTCCTTTTTCTCAGTTATTAGTTGCTGGGAATCTTCTACTGTTATTTTATCTTCTAATTTCTTCATTTTTGACTCCATATTATTCTGTTTTTCTTTTAGGGCCTTTAGTTCAAGTAGAATTAGTGTTTCTGTGTTTGATGCTTCTGGCTTTTTGTTGTCTGAAACTGTGGTTTTGTTTGTGAGGTCCTTCGCCTCTGTAGTGGTTGTCTGTGTGCTTGTCTCTCTGAATGATTTTGTAGATTCTTCTCCGGTGTTTATCCTATTGTCTTTATCCTATTTGGTCTAAAAACCTTCAATGAATTTTTGAATTACCAGCTTTCATTTGAGCTATTGGTTATTACGATCAGACATACCTGAAGCAGGCATCAACAATGATTATAATTGTTTTGGGACTTATCTGCAATCAACGATACGTGTAACTCTATTTTTATTTAAGTTATTTTATATGTCTTGGTCTTAAAAATACTCCTAAAAAATAAAGGCTTTAATTTGAGATATTGATCGATTGATTTGAATCAGTTAAGTTCAAGATACTGTATCACTCAATCAAAAAACAAAAATTTGATTATTTCTCGGACATGGAATTTATTTTTAAATATATCTATCTACTATATTCTAATTGCCTTATCCTATATGTTTTGATAAAAAACCTTCAGTGAAATACTAACTTTCATTTGAGTTATTGATTTTTAAGATCAGGCGTACAAAAAAGCATGCTGCTGAATCAAGAATAACCCAAAATGTTCCAAAAAAGAGTTATTTATTAATTGATTGATAGTTAAATCATTTTGCTTAAAACCTCAACAGTAACCGTCGATTCCGGCGGGTTTCACCATAGACAAATAGAATAAATATAGACTGTCAAAGGAAGGTTCCACGATGTGCCACTAGATCGTGCTTGGTGTTCGATTCGCTGCCGTCGTCGGCTCCTCGCCGTATGCTATCAGCAGATGCTGCAGCGGTGTGTGCCGCAACTACACGACACTCCTAGCGGTGGACGCCAGAACATAAGCTAACTGCAGCACTGTTGTCGGTCCATATTTAATTCTTTTTGTCTATGGTTTCACCTATTTAGAATTAAAATGAATAGGTTTCATATATGGAAATGATGTTGATAATGTCCAGACAATTCTATGTTTACACAACACATCTCAGATCAAATAAAATGAAATAGCATTTTAGTTACTCAAATGAAAATGAAATCCTTATGCTACATTTTACTCTATTTATTTTTAGTTAGATACTATACTTGGGATAAATTAACTGGTTCATTGTTCAGGATTTAACAGCGAAAGGTGTAAAACGCCAAGAAACACAGAAGGTGTTTGCATCAACATCAGGGATTGCCCCGAGCATCTTGATTATCTCCTGAACAAACGGAAGGACCCAGAAATAGTACAATACCTTCGGGAAGCTGTATGTCGAAGGGAAAATGGTCAAATAATCACCTGCTGCCCTGTAAGGAAAAGTACGTGATAAAAACAGCAATGTGCAACCTGGTTAGTCTTCAAAGCATACCCACTACTATCATGTTAGTTGAAACAGAGTGATCGTTATGTACAACGCTCCTTCAAAAACTGATGGGGCCAAATGGCTTTGTTTGTAAGAAAGTGTATTACAAATACTATGTGTATAATAATTCTTTGGGGTTGATATAAATTACTGAGAAATTTTCAAATTTGATACAGTAATGCTTACTGATTGATTCTATATCAATACTACTTGTGTTACACCATCTCCTGTCCAGATAACTTTGCCCCTTGCTCTTAGTTTACATTCCCTACGTACATATTAATCAGCTTTCTTTGCCTTACCTTCTTTCCATACTAGTGTTTATTTCAATGTATTTTGTGCTAATTAAAATTATAATATTCCTCTTTTGAGCACACTCTTACAATAAACTTTGAGCACACCTCGGAAATTGCCACTTTTGGTACCTTCGTTAATGAAATAAACTATTTATGTATCTTTTTGCAAAATAAACGATGAGTCAATCTGATTTTAATTTTCTCGTTTTAGGTTGTCCTATGTTCAACAATTTCACTAACAATCTTCTAGAGCAGGGGGTTCTCAAACTTTTTTGGGTCACGCCCCCCCCCCTCACCCAAGGCTAAATATGCCTTCAGTAAATTTGTAGGTAAACAAATATTTTAAAAATCAAACTAAACTTAAGTATTTTGATCATCACATATTATAATCAAATATTAGCTACACACATAGTATGTGGTTGTTTAGATGTTATTAATAATCTATACTAATATATAAAAATGCGATTGTGTGTGTGTGTCTGTCTGCGACTCAATAATGCCAGAAACACTGAACCGATTTAAATAAAATTTCGTATAGAGGTAGCTTATAACTTATACCTGGTTAACTGGCATATTACTGTTTTCATATTTCCCTTGGGCTACGCCCCATCCCGATGGGCTTCCAAAGTTTCAATGTTTACATTTTGGAAGAATGTAAATAATCAAATATCCTTATTAATAATTGAAGTCAGTTGTAAATACTTTTAATTTGACAGCGCAGAGGTTAAGGCTACGACTATACAAGGACGCTGGCGTCCGGGAGGCTGGCGTCTGGGACGCTAGTAGGGCATTAAATTAAATGGGAGGGATTAGACTAGGGATGCCAGCGTCGGACACTAAAAAAGCCACCGGACTGGACGCTCGATTTTGTGTGGGGCATTGGTTTAAATGTGGCGCATTATACTAGGCTGTTGGCATCCGAGACGCTGTCTTTCGACATGTGCGCGAATATAGGGATTAGCTATTACCATAGGTCTCATCGTAAAAGACCTGGACCACCGACCGATTTACTTTTTCGATTTGATGTCCTCAGAGGCCATCAGAGGTCATCACAACTAATTTGTTAAATTAAAAACATAAACATAACTTAACTAACTGTAAACGATCCTACTTTGACAGTTAGGTAGTTCTCATTGTGTATCACAGCTTTTTGTTGCTGCTTAGTTTAAATTAGCTGTTGTCATAAATGAAAAAATTAATAGTGCTGCACCCTGTTGGTAAACCTTGTAACTTTTTAATGCTATTAAATATCATAGAACTAACATGTTTAGTTTAAATAGCTGGCAAAATTCTTTAATTCCTTTTAAATACGAAAACTCATAAGCTTCAAATTTTGGGCGTTTTTTCAACTTTCCCTGCCTTGTCCGGTCCTGTGTGTGGCACTCCATAAGCGCCCGTGCGATTCCTGTTGCACAAGACGACCCGGGCCAAAATGCCCTGTCGTGCTCTGCCCCGCCCGGTTCTGTGTGTGGCCAGCCTAAGAATAACATGGAAATTGCTGTAAGCCCCTGTCGGCCATAGCCCTATAGGATTTTCACAACTGTAATATGCCTATGTGTTTCTCAAGACTCAAGTAAGTACCTCCTGACAAAAGTTCAGTAGTTAGGGTAAAAAATATATAAATTTTATGTAAAATGAAATTGAACTGTGCGTTTATTCTTTACTACAGTACCCTCTTGTTGTGCGATTATTTTTTTACCTATTAACTTAATTATGTAAGTTTTTAAACTTAATACACTTTGAAGTAAGCGTATCATTTGAAAATTAAATCGTATGATAGAGTATTTTCATACATGCATCAGTACCTCATATAATTCTTACTAGGTAGCCTTATAAGTTAGCCTAGCTTTAAAGAAAGATATTTTTTCAAACTTGGAGGTCCAATTAAATTTTGTTCCTGAAAGCAAAGGCGGATGTGTAACTATTTTATACAACAGATTAAAACATGAAATGTTTCTCTTCAGCGTCCCCTCCGTTGCGAAGCACGGGTACAACAGTTAGTATTTTAATAACAATTCAAAAATATAAGTTATATGGTAATGAAAAAAATAAAAAGAATATACTATTTGACCAAATAATCACATAATCATTTCATAAAAAAAAAATATTGTTAACTGGTCTTCACCTGACAAAGCTTAACCCCTGTGAGGAGCGTGCCTCCCGCTTTTGGAACACCTGGTCTAAAGCCTAAAAATTACTTGACATGAGATTAATTGATAGAAATTAAAATTGTTTAGCAAAAGGCTTTTTAAATGTAAAATTTAAATAATTAAAAAAAATGCTAATTTGTTATATTAATGTTTGAATAATTAATGTGTGATGTATTTATTTAATACTTAATTTTGAAATATTTGAAAATTATACCTTTTTTATTTAATCTAACAAATTGAATAAACTGTTGCCTTTGTTATTTAAATAAATTAAATCTGAATACAGTACAAAACTCGACCTCTAAAACGAGCTATGATTATTGAAAATGCTTTGTTCAATTCAATTCAAATTATCTTTATTCATCAAGTGCATTAGGATCTCCCATGTTATCCTTATGGAGAAAAAACTTACTTTAAGGGCCTCTGACGCCCTTGCCAACGACTTTATCAAAAATCTAATACCGTTGGGCACAACTACACGTTTTAACTTTATTTAGAGACCTCAAATGTCAAAAGGGTGAATAATAACAGAGGAGTTTGATTAACAAAAAACTGCTTAGCCTATTATATAATATATATATATATATATATATATACTAGCTGACCCGGCGAACTTCGTATCGCCTAAGTTATAGGTTTCCCCTAAGACAGACCGATGGAAAGAAAGTACCGTTACGTTTAATTTTCAAGATGATCTCGTTCGCATCGCTCAATCACATCCTGGTTGAAGTTCGTTCGCTACGCTCACTCACCTTTGGGTTGGAGCTCGTTCGCTACGCTCACTCACCTTTAGGTTGGAGCTCGTTCGCTGCGCTCACTTGCCTTCAGGTTAGCTCGTTCGCTACGCTAACTCGCCTCCAGGTTGAAGTTTGTTCGCTACGCTCACTCACCTTTGGGTTGGAGCTCGTTCGCTACGCTCACTCACCTTTAGGTTGGAGCTCGTTCGCTGCGCTCACTTGCCTTTAGGTTAGCTCGTTCGCTACGCTCACTCGCCTCCAGGTTGAAGTTCGTTCGCTACGCTCACTCACCTTTTGGTTGCAAATTAGCTGTTGTCATAAATGTAAAAGAAATAATAGTGCTGCACCCTGTTGGTAATCCTTGTAACTTTAATGCCATTGAACATCATAGAACAGAACCAACTTGTTTAATTGAAACAGCTGTTAAGATTCATTAATTCCATTTCCCATAAGGTTAACATGGGAAACTCCAGAGCCACTGGGGCGGAGCCCTTTTAAGAATTTCGAAACGGGAAATAGTTTACTTCCTATTCGCATACCTACAGAATTTACACACCAAATTTCATAACGATCGGTGAAGTCGTTCCGGAGGAGTTTGCAGACAAACACTGTGACACGAGAATTTTATATATTAGATATACAGGGTGAGTTTCTACTGACCGTGTTAACTTCGCCAGTGGGTTCTACTCACTAAAAGGAACAAAAAAGTTCCTATAAACCCATGTCCGATTTTTAACCTTTTGGCTGTAATAGGGGATTTTGTGTTTTTCTTATTTTATTAGACTTTGCTCCACAATTTATGTAATAAAATCTTAATCAATTACTTTAGAGTGTTGTAGTTAAAATCATTAGAAAGAACATTAAATTTGCTATAAATCAAAGGTTTCATTCAACAATTATACCATTACATAGTCCACGTTATATCCAAAATAAAGTAAAAATGTCATTAAATTAATTAATTACGATAACTTTCATGAGCCTCCTTTGATACATAAACCTGCATTTATGCAATGTTGAAATGCATAAAAAACTTGGCATTTTAATAATCTTTCAAATGATATGCTATTCAATACTATTATTGATATAAACCAGTGAGAAATTACTAATAAACTACAATAAAACACGGTTTACAGATTTTGTTTTTGCACAGTTTTACTGTTAATAATAATTACTGTATTCATCATGTTGTCATAATCTTGATTTGTAAAAGGCTCCATATTTTAATAAATGTTGAAAAACTCTTAATTGACTCGGAAATATAAAGTTAAAACAGCAAATTACTCAATAAGGTATGTTCAAGCAGCTGAGTTATCTAGCTATAGATGACAAATCAATAAAAGCTGACTTAATCAAGCACAAGGTAAAACTAATTACACAGCATTTAAGAATCAAACACACTACATCTTTGAAAATGTGAAAAACCTTGAGTTTATACATTTTATTAATTCAGATAATTTTAATAAATATTTAAAAGTTAAAATAATGTACAAATTTTATCAGATAGTTCAATAAAATACATCATGGAGTATACAGTAATTATTATTAACAGTAAAACTGTGCAAAAACAAAATCTGTAAACCGTGTTTTATTGTAGTTTATTAGTAATTTCTCACTGGTTTATATGAATAATAGTATTGAATAGCATATCATTTGAAAGATTATTAAAATGCCAAGTTTTTTATGCATTTCAACATTGCATAAATGCAGGTTTATGTATCAAAGGAGGCTCATGAAAGTTATCGTAATTAATTAATTTAATGACATTTTTACTTT